TAAGATAATCATCCTAGCCAATGATTTCCTAATAGTTTCTTGAGAAAACAACCAAGTACCTATTCAACCCTCTCCTCCATTTTTAGAATTAGAAAGCGTAAGCTTAGAGTGCCTAGAATCCCTTTCTTTTGCAGCAATTACTAATGGGTTATTAGCACATGCCTCTAAATGGTTTCTCATGCTTGTTGTTCCATTTTTTTTAGGGTGCGCTTTATAAGGGGAAGAACAATAGTTACATCTAGCCATAGGGTAACCATCAGGGCCTTTAAACCTAGTCACATGCTCCCAAACATATGATGTTAATGCTCTAGTCCTAGGTAGTGTAGGGGCTACATGACTTTGAGAAGATTGGGGTTGGGTACCTTTTTTTGGGCTGTCCAGCAGTTGCATTTGAAGCTACTTGACTTTGGGGTTGGGTGGATACCTCTTCTTGACCACCAGCAGTGTCCTCTCTTTCACCATCAGCAGTCTCTCCGCTTTCGACATCAACTTGGATGTCTTCAAAATTTTATAATTTGCAAAAGTTAGAAAAGAATAAATCAGAAACTATGTTGAATTTCCAGATTAATTTCCAATACAATTAATAAAATCAGAAACTATGTCTAATCATTACAATTAATCTGTTGAAACTCAAATACAAATAATTTCCAGGAATATATGAGATGAATCAAATAGCAAAGAAAACCGGAAACCTATTTGATATCAACGTTATAAACTTATCCAAAGCAATCTCTCACTTTCAATCTGATATCAACGTTTCATTTCTTAAACACCAAATTAGACTCTACATAAAACACATTTTAGGGGAAGGGTATGACAAAAAACACAGTCCAACAAGGCAGCATAAAAGATCATAAAATGAAACAGGATAAAAGATTGTCTTTGTCTTTTTATAATCATCAGAATTCATATGTTATATATATATATATATATATATATATTCATCATATTCATTCATCAATATCATTAATCATCATATTTACTTAGCAAATCAATCATTATATTAGCAAAAAATGAAAATCACAAATGACAATTTTGAGTCTCACCTTAAATTCTTTGTAAAATCAAAGAGAATTGCTTTGAATTTGAAACCGAAACTGAAACAGCAAGTATTGAGCCCTAATTCCAAAAGACAAATCCAATAAAAACTTAATTAGTAAAGAACTTAACAAACCCAAAGAAATTCAGTTTCAAAATCCCTAATTCCTAAACTAAAATTGATCAACCTACCTTGAAATTTTTGTAATATCGCTCCTTTAAGGCCCACTGTCAAAGAACCCTAAACAAAACATCAATCGAAACTAAAAACCATAGTATTGAGCCCTAATTCCAAAAGCCAAACAAATTAAAACTTACTTAGTAAACAAATTAAGAAACCCATAGATTTTTAGTTTCAAAAGCCCTAATTCCTAAATGAAAAATCGAAATCGAAAATTGATTCACAGTCACTTACCCAAAACAGCAAAACCTAAATCGAAAATGATGAAAAAAGAGAAGGAATCACTAAACTCCGGTGAAAGAGATGAAGAACAATGAGATCTCAATCGAAAATCAAACTGGAAAACACCAGCAAAAATTGAAAGAGAAAGAGACTGAGATGAGAGAGAGAAAGACGGGGTCGAGATCGAGAGGAGAGGATAGGCGCAAAGAGAAAAAGAAAAGGGTTCTTTTTCCTAGGGTTTAATTTTTTATAATTTCAGAAATGTGAGGAGTTTTATATTTTCTGATTTATTAATATTTCTAAATTAGTAATAATATAAAGTATAAATATAAAACAAATATAAATAATTTATTATATATATTATATATCCGAAAAATATTTTATATATACTTAAATAATCGGTCGGTTTCAGTTCAGTTTCGAATTCAAAAACATGTACCGATAACCGACTGTCCCCTTCACCATCGGTGGCGGTTTGCACCGCCTACACCGATAAACCACACCGCCTCAGGCCGCAGCCGTCGGTGGCGGTTGGTTTGGCGGTTCAAACCACCCGACTCTCCCCCCTAGAAATAACTATCACATTTTAGTCTTTTCTCCTATGTGTTTAGTAAGAGTTATAACAGGCTTATTAGTAAGCCCAGATTCAACGGGCATATTCCCATGTAAAGTCAAGACCAAAAAACTGCTTGCAGCGCAACCATTTAAAAGAAAACGTCTCATTTTTTCCAAAGGAAAAAAAAACACCTGCTACTTGATTTTTTTTATATAAACAAAATTATTATTCTATTATATTTTATATTTATTTTAGCCTCACACTCGCTTAATCAGCGCCCTTGAGCCTATTTTCTTTTTCTTTTTTTCGGCCAAAAGTCTAGTTTTCTGGCTAAATGCTCAATTTGGGGGCAAAACGTTTTAATTTGACCAAAAAAGAACCAAACGTTTTCAACCTGCTTGAGTTTGGGTTGTTTCAGACAATGCTGGGGCAATGCCAGACACGCACTGTTAACCGAGAGTGAGAGTGACACGTGGCAATACAGTCCAAATTACATGAATTTTTGGGAAAAAAAATGAGCATTATTAAAATAAAAAGAATTTATTTAAGTTAAAAGTTACGTTTTTGTCACCTACCTCCATCTCTCTCTTTTTTCATCGGTTTTAGGGTTCTTGTAGCTGCAATTTTCTTCTTCTAGAAATTAATAATTTTCAAGTGTTTGGCTAATTTCCAGAAAAAATTTAGTTTGTAAGCATTTTATAATTTATACAAACCATGATTTTGATATTAATCAATACGTGACACTCAAAATATATTAACAAATTAAAGAGTTTTGCTCATAAAGAAGATTGGGATCTCACATTGGCCTTATATCAAGCACCTTATATGAATCCTTATGAAACATAAATTACACATATTTATACAAATTCCCCTAAACCTCTAGAATCAATGTGCTTCAACAAGAAAGTTTGCAGAAAATTTTATAACACTATTAATCAATTACTGCAAATCTTACTTCAAAACATCATTGATTTCCATGGTTTTCATATAGTCATCATCTCAAAGACTATAAATTTATCCTAAGATCAAGAACTATAACAATTCCCATCGATAAAGTCCTGTAAATTCTTGAAAAGTAATCACCCTTGTTATTAAAAAAATAGCAAAAAACACAAGAATTGAAAAGATGGAAAACGAAAGGCAATAAGAGTTCAAGAAAATAATTAAAATTTCACATATATGGGATTTTGGAGTGGGTTTTTAAGAAGCAGAAGAATAAGAAGAAGAAAAGTTGGGTAGACAACAAATTGATAATGAAGAAGAAGAGAAGAAGTAGAATTGCTCATCTCGCCGGAAGTGAAAATTTTTGGTTGTTACACAAACTGAAGATGATTTTGCACCTTAAAATCGCTAAATCTTCAATCAAATCACTAGAAACCCTAGAAACTTATACCTAAATCAATTCGAACCAAATCTTCAATCGCACCAAACCCTAAGTTTTTCTGTTTTCTATTTTGGGGAAAACAAAGAATGTCGAGATTGAAAATTTTTTAAGGGAAAACTGATTTTTAACTCTATTGGTAAAACGGTAAAACAATAAAAATGTTTTTATTTATTTATTAATTCAATTTTTTAATTTCAGAAATCATTTTCGAAAATAAACTAACGAAAATAAAAATCCACGTGGACAATAAACGAGATTTAACGGTGCATGTCTGACATTGCCACAGCACCGTCTAAAAGCCCGAAATTGAGCAGGAGTGTCAAACATTTGGCCCCAAATTGAACAAAGTGTCAACCATATATGGGATGTTTGTTTTGCCCTTAATCCGTTAAACAATTGAATAAATAGATGAAAGAAGAAGCGATGGAGGCAAAAGATGGAAGGTTAGTAGAATAAGGAAAGAGATGAAAGAAGAAGCAGAGGGGGCAATAGGTAAAAGATGGAAGATGAAGATTCAAGCAAAGGGGCGAAAAAAAGAGTGATAGAACTAGAAATTGGTTAGAAACCTAAGTAGGTGATAACTGATAAGTACTGGATTGCTAAATACCTCCCCCCTTTTGCTAAATACCGCCCCCCTTTTTACACTTTTGCCCTTTGTTTATATTTTAAACTTTCTAACAACTTCTTCAAACCCTCAACCTTCAAACCTTCAAACCCTAAACTTCATTCCTAATAACTTCTTCAAACTTCATTTCTAACAACTTCTCCAAACTTCATTTCTAACAAATCTTCAAACTCATTTTCCTTCATTTTCTTCAAAAATCTTCAAGAAAATCATGTCGAATTTCGGTGCAAATCGGTTCACTGTCAAATTTGTAAGTTTTAAATTATAGAAATCCAGATTTAGAGAATTTCGGCTTTTTTTTTTTTTTTGGTTTTATGGCTGTGCCGCCCAAACTGGGCGGCTTGGTCATGGCAAGCCGCCCAGTTTGGGCGACAAAGGCAATAATTTTAAAAAAAAATAATAATAATTTTTAATTAATTAATTTTAATGTTTATGATTAATTTTAATGAGTTTATTAAAATTAGTTTGTTTATTAGTTTATGTTTAATTAGTTTATAATTAATTAGTTCATTATTTTTGTTTTTTTATTAATTAGTACTTAGTTTATTAGTTTTTTAATTAGTTAATTTATGATTAACTACTGTTAATTAATCTAAATTTTGATTGTTTAATAGTTTATTAGTTTTAATTAGTTTATACTTAAAAGTGGAATTTTAATTAATATTAATTTTGATGATTAATTTTAATTAGTTTATTAAAATTAGTTTGTTTATTAGTTTATGTTTAATTAGTATTTAATTAGTTTATAATTAATTAGTTCATTATTTTTGTTTTTTTATTAATTATTACTTAGTATATTAGTTTTAATTAGTTAATTTATGATTAACTATTGTTAATTAATCTAAATTTTGATTGTTTAATAATTTATTAGTTTTAATTAGTTTATACTTAATTTGTTTATTTACGATTAATTGTTGTTAATTAGTTATAATTGTTTGAGTTCACGTTTGGAGAAGCGCGTGGGCAAGGGTCTAGGCAGGTACGTGTAAAGGAGATGTCAGATCCGAAATTGGTTAGCGTGTGCGAGAATATCGGAGATGCGGCGAATCGCCCTTGTTGGTCAACTCAACCAGCTAATATTCCTAAAGTAGGTGAAGATAAATTTGTTCTGGAAGAATCTAGAAGCTCTTTGTTGGGATTTGCCTCTTTGGGATCGGCCTTTTTGGGCTCAAGCTCAAGTGGGCCTATAGATGGTGACGTATCGCCTGGGCCGGGATCCAGTAATGATGATAGGGCCCATACTATCCTCTCAAATGCTAGGTCCAATATGGCGTTAATAGAATACCCAAATGAACCAGGAGCACCAGAATCAAGTTCAGATGAGTATGCAAATGAGCCGGGAGTTCCAGAATTGGACGATGTTGAATACGCAACTGAATTTGAGCCAAGAGTCCCAGAGATCGCTGAACAAGATCAAAGATCTTCTTCACTTGGAATTATAGAAGGATCTAGCCCAAAAAAGGTGATCAATCTCTCTCCTGTCAAAATGATCAAGACTGTTATGAGTCTCTCTAATGTGTTTAGAAATCTGAACTTAAAAAGAAGTGTTGAACTGGAGGGTGATTGGGCCGTTAGTAAAAAGAAGCAAAAAGTGGTTGATGTTGATCAATTAAAACAACAGGAGAATGAAGTTATGTGTCTTGATTTTAACAGTTGTATGCCACATGGTAGAAGGAAGTATAAGAAGCGAGTTAGAACAAGAAGTAGGAAGAGAACTACGCAAACCTCTGTTGTGATCAGAGAAGTTGAAGTTCTGCATGATGTTCCTATCGAATTTGAAGCTGGGGGTTCTGATGACTGTCCTGCAACAGTCATCCATTCATCATGATAGGCGTTTCCTGGAACCGTCAAGGGGCAGGATCACCCTTGACAAATGAGAACCCTGAGAGGGTTAAAGAAAGATTTTGATCCGGATGTGGTGTTTTTAATGGAAACAAAGAACAAGGTTAGAAAGTTGGAGTATCGCAGAAAAAAGATGGGTTTTGAATATGGTGATTATGTTGAACCTGATGGGCTTACTGGTGGTCTTGCTTTGTGGGCCAAGAGGAAGAATAGTGTGGTAATTAGAGCTAAGGGGAAGAATTTTATTGATTCCTGGTTCTGTGATGATAAGGGTGTGTCTCTGTTTCGTGTTATATGGGTCTATGCACCAGTTGATTACTATGATAGACAGATGTTGTGGAGGCGTATTGAGGATATGGTTAATGAGTTGGAAGTTCCTTGTATTTGCTTAGGAGACTTCAATGATATTCTTGATCAAGCTGAGATACTGGGGGGTAAAAGAAAGGCTCACAGGAACATTGCAAGTTTCAGAGATTTCATCTCCTGCTGCAATTTTATTGACATGCCTAGCCAGGGGCAACAGTTCACATGGAGTTGTATAAGAGGGGGAGAGGTTATTCAGGAAAAGTTGGACTGTGTTCTGGGAAATTCTGATTGGATAGCTCAAAATCCAAGATGCAAGGTCATAAATCTCCCGGCTATAGGTTCAGATCATTCGCCTATTGTTTGTTTCTCGGATTTCAAAAGCATCCATTCAAAAAGAATTTTTAAATTCGAAGCTATGTGGGTTGAGCATCAAGACTATGGCAATGTAGTGAAGGAAGGCTGGAAAAAGGAGATTGAAGGATCTAAAACTTTTCAGGTTGTGAAAAAGTTAAAAGAGTGTGAGAGACTCTTGAAGATTTAGAGTCGGAAGGCCTTCCCAAATAACAGGAAGGAAATTGAAGAGATCAAGTCAAGAATTGTTAGATTGCAAAGTAAAGCCATGACAGAGGACGACTACAAAGAAGTGGGAATGCTGATTGAGAAGCTTGATGAGCTCTAGAATAGAGAAGAGCAGTACTGGTTTCAGAGGGCCCGGATCAAATGGCTCACTTATGGAGATCAGAATACATCTTTCTTTCACCAAACAACTCTTCAGAGAAGACAATGTAATAGAATTGTAAAGATCAAAAACTGTCAGGGGGAATGGGTGGATGAAGAAAAGGATATCAGGAGGTGTTTTACAGGTTTCTTTGAAAATCTTTATACTAGCTGTGGCCCAAGGGATTGGAAAGAAGTCCTCAGCTACGTCCCAAAGATGATCACAGATGAGATGAACATGGAACTTACGAGGGATTTCTCAATAGAAGAGATCAAAGAAGCTACTTTTCAGTTGGGGAAACACAAATCCCCAGGGCCGGATGGCTTTAATGGCCTGTTCTTTCAAGAATATTGGAGTGATGTTGGGCCAAGCATTGTTGATGCAGTAAAAAGCTTTTTCCACAGTGGCAGGATATTGAAGGAGTTAAACAAAACCTTTATTGTGCTTATCCCCAAAATAAAGGCCCCTGAGGAGGTTAGCCAATTCCGTCCAATTAGTCTCTGCAATTTTGTGTACAAAATTATCTCTAAGCTTATGGTTAATAGGCTGAAGAAGTGGCTGGAGGTTTTAATCACTCAAAATCAGAATGCTTTTCTGGAGAAAAGGCAAATTCAAGACAACATAATAGTGGCTCATGAGGCTTTTCATTATCTAAAGCTTAGAAAAAACAGAAAAAGATGGGATGTAGCCATTAAACTGGACATGCAGAAAGCTTATGATCGTATAGAATGGGATTTTCTCGAAGCAGTGTTGCAGAAAATGGGATTTGATGAGAAATGGATTAATTGGACAATGGAGTGTGTTTCTACTGTCAGATACTCAGTGGTTATCAATGGGGAGCCAGAAGGGAATATCAATCCAACGAGGGGGTTAAGACAAGGGGACCCTTTGTCCCCTTATCTGTTTCTATTTATTGTTGATGTCCTTTCTAGAATGATCATTCAGGAAACTGAAGGAAAGCAGCTGTCTGGTATGAAGCTTTGCAGGGCAGGCCCGGAGATTACACATCTGATTTTCGTTGATGATTCCTTATTCTTTCTTAAAGGGAGCGAGAAGAATTGTGATAAGTTGAAGGAGTTAATTATGAAGTATTGTGCTGCATCTGGACAACAAGTAAACTTATCCAAATCAAGTTTGATCTTCAGCTCCAACACTCCGGAAGATGTCAAAACAACAATTTCTAATCGTGTTGGCATACCTATTGCTGCTAACCCAGGTACCTATTTAGGGAATCCTGCTGCTACTTGGGGCAAAACTAGAAAAGAAGCTCTCCATTTTGTGAAAGAAAGAGTTTTATCTAGAATACAGGGATGGAAACAAAAGATGCTGTCTCAGGGAGGTAGGGAAATTCTTCTGAAGGCAGTGGCCAGTGCTATTCCTACTTATTTCATGTCATGTTTAAAATTTCCCATTAGTCTTTGTAAAGAGATGAGTGCTGGGATGGCCCGATTCTGGTGGGGGCAACAGAATGATGAAGGAAGGATTCATTGGGTAAGCTGGGAAAAGCTTACTAAGTCAAAACAAGATGGTGGTATGGGCTTTAGGTAGTTGGAGCTCTTTAATCAAGCTCTTCTTGCAAAGCAGTACTGGAGAATAACTCAGAATCCGGATGCTCTTTGGGTTAAGGTCCTTAAGGGCATTTACTTTCCTAACTGTGATGTGACTAATGCTCGTAGGGGAGGCAGAGCTTCATGGATGTGGAGTAGCATTCTTAATGGTAGGGATTTTATGGAAAAAGAGCTTCGGTGGAGAGTTGCTAATGGGGAAAATATATCTGTTACTGATGACAGATGGATTCCTAAGCTTGAATCCGGTAAAATTGATCTCCAAGGAGGTGAGGAACACTGCAGAGCACTAAAGTCAAAGATCTTATTGATGCAGATGCTGGATGTTGGGACCTCAGTCCAGTTGAACAATGGCTCACTCCGGAATGTAAGAAAGCCATCCTGGATATCCCTATTTCTATATATGGTTGTAGTGACAAAAAGATTTGGCCTCACGAGAAGAATGGCACTTATACAGTGAAATCTGGGTATCACATCATGAAGGGCCAAGAAACAACTACTGGGCATAGCAATGGTGTTGCTAACAGCAAGCTGTGGAGAATAATATGGAAGCTTCAAGTCCCAAACAAGATTAAGCACTTCATGTGGAGAATCTGCACCAGATCTCTAGCCACTAAAGAAAGACTATTAAGCAGGAAAGCTACTAATGATGCTACCTGTCTTATTTGTCAGAATGAAGTAGAAACAATTGAACACCTGCTGTTGAAGTGTGATTGGACCCAAGTAGTGTGGTTTGGTACTATGGGCTACAGGTGTGACAATGCTGATCTACAGTCGGTGAGTGATTGGTTTATGTCTGCTTTGGAGAAAATGGACAAAGATGGCCTGACATTGGTATAAAAATTGCCTATACTGGTTGGTTTATTTAGAAGGCGAGATGTGATCTTATTTTTAATGGCAAGAAACTTGACCCTTTGGGCACTACCATTGCTGTTCAGAAAAGTATCAATGAGTATCAAAGTTGTAGGGTAAAACAGAAGTTAAAGATGATACCTGACCAGCAGATACAGGAACTGACAAGTTGGATCCCCCTGCAGATGGTGAACTAAAAATCAACATGGATGGTGCCTGGGACAAAGAGACAGGTAAGGGTGGCTATGGAGTTATTGCTCGAATGCAGGATGGCAGTGTCATTGATGGTATTACAAGGGATGGGCAGTTTTCTTCAGCCTTGCATACTGAAGCTGTAGCAATCCGGGAAGCAGCTACTATTGCTAACAAGCATGGTAATTTGAAGGTTGTTTTTGAAAGTGATTCACAGGAACTTGTGAAAGCTATACTGTCTGACAAAAATGGTAGATGGGAGATAGATTCTATCTTGGAGGATTTTCGACAGATTACTGCCCAGTTGAAGAGTTTCTCTATCAGGTGGATCAGTAGAAAGGCGAATGCAGCAACAGATTGGTTGGCTTCTTATGCCAGGCAGGGAATGTGCACAGTTAATTGGGTTAATCACCCACCATTCCCTTTGGTTCATATCTTGAAGAATGATGGCCTTCCAGCGCCCCCAATTGTTTGAGTCTTTTGCTTTTTTCTTTAGTTCTAGGTCTTTGGAGATATTCTTGTCTTTATCTCTTGTTGTCTAGCTCTAAAGGAATTAGTGGATGTAATCGTTTGTTTTTGGTGATTAATAAAATAAGTAGACCCTTTTGGCCAAAAAAAAAGTTATAATTCTTAATATTTTGTAGCCCTCACAAGGAGGGGAGTGGAGTAGCTCTGGAGCGCGGCACATTAGGAGTCGTAATGTAACTGTCTCTGCCCGTAGGGACAGAGAGGAGCAGTTGCAGAGGGAGAGAGAGGAGCAGTTGTCGAGGAGGCCGCTTTACTAGTACTGGATCAACATCAGGTACAACTTTAGTTTCTAATTTTATATTATTAGAGTAGTTGTAAATAATTATTAAATTTAGGGTAGGCTGAATTTAGTTATTAAATTTGGTACAAATTTAGTTATTAATTTTATAATATTAGATTAATTTTAATAGTTTAATTTATGAATTTCAGGGAGTAGCAAATGATTCAGATGATCCCGCACCACTAATGCGGACTGGGTGGTTAGGGAGCCAGTGCCTGGTGGCCCTACAGTCGGTGACGTGATTCCCAGTTTTCTTAGACATGTTGCCTCGCGTATGTCTGCGGGCCAGATCAAAGGCGTCTTGAAGTGTCAGAATAGAGCGCAAGTTTGCCAGAAGTTGGGAGACTTGTACAATGTTATGGCAGGGGAGGTGTTTGAAATGTTACAAAATGGAGTAAAGGGCGAAAGTGTCAAAAATTATAAAAAGGGGGGCGGTGTTTAGCAAAAAGAGGACGGTAAATAGCAAACCCCTGATAAGTATTGTGTTTGTCCCACACGATATGTTAACTTTTTAGGTTTATTTATTTTATAGCTTTATTGTATTTTTATTCTTTAACATTACTAGGTTTTTTTTAGTTCCCTTTTTGGCCGAAACATTACTAGTTGTCATTAATATTATAGAATATATATATATATATATATATATATATATATATACCAACAAGGGGTTGGATCAAGTGGTAAGCGGGTTGTTCCAGCTTAAGTAGGTCTCAGATTCGAGACCTTACGTACGCAGCTGCCCCTGTTGGGAGACTCACCCACCATAACCAGGTGCGCGACGCGAATCGGACCCGGATTAGTCAGGGCCTAGCCCTGGATACCGGATGAGATACCAAAAAAATTATAGAATATATATATATATATGTGTGTGTGTGTGTGTTTATGGCCAATAAAAATAGAATATATATGTTGTTAAAATCAAAGTAAATAATAGAATAGATAATAAAACAATTGTATTAAGATAATTGACATAAGAGAATATGAGATATTAAATTTTATATAAATAAATTTTTTACTTAAAATATATCAATTATATATATTTTTTTGAGTAAAAAACTAGCATTCCATTCATTTAAATGTCTGGATTACAAACGGGTAGAGAATCTCCACACCAAGTAATGTAAGCCCTAACTGCACAATCTAAATGAGTTAGGTTGTGGGCAAACATATTTACACTTCTATGTACATGGCTAAAATTACAGAAATCAAAACAGTTCCCTAACAGTCTAATTTGATGAATCAAGTTCCCACCCTCCCAAAGACTAGGATCTTGGTTATTAATCTCATTGATTGCTACCAAAGAATCACTCTGAACTTCACACGATTGTATAGCAAACATCTGAGCTAGAATTAGCCCAAATCTAACTGCATATACCTCTACAAACAGAGGACTCGACACATTTGCAATCCTGGTCGTGGCCGAAACAACCACCATACCACGTCGATCCCTAATCACAACTCCTAAACCTGCCTCGCTCTTTGTTGAAAAGAAGGCAGCATTTGTATTTATCTTAACAAGCGCCAGAATGGGTGGAGTCCAACCCTGATTACACGCTACCTATAATGGCTTCAAACCCCTCTGTCGAACCTGCTCAATCTCCCTCACCCCTTTTGCTACAGCTACACAAATCGAACTTGGTGTCCTGCACCTAAACTCATGAAGAGCTTGGTTTCTATTATACCAAATTAGCCACAGCAGATTTATCACCAGCTCCATAGAGCCTAACTGAGCCGCTGTCTCCAATAACTTATCCCAAAAATCCTCTCCCTCACTCTAGTTTTGCATATGACCCATAAGCCAAGAACATGTTATTTCCCATATCCTTACACTAAATGGACAATGAAAAAAGGTATGCCAAATCGATGATTCAGTATTATAACAAACAGGACAATTATCCTGTACTGGGATTCCTCGTTTCTTCAAATTTACTTTCGTTGGCAAAATATCATGCCACACTCGCCAAAGAAAGAACTTCATTTTTGGTTGAACAGTCGCTCCCCAAACTCGACGTCAGTACCCTAATCTAGCATCTATCGATGGTAATTCTTTTCCCAAGACACGCCTTGCTACATGGTATCCTGATTTTACAGTATAATGGCCATGACTAGTCTCATGCCATATGAGTGTATCACATGAAGGAAATATAGATAAAGGGATGCAAAGAATACGTCCAACATCAGTAGGTACAAATAACTCATTCAAGAGATCAACATCCCACTTACCATTATCCATCATAACACTAACCTTATTTGGTTGACAAACCGTTCCCGGTCTTGGTTAAGGTCTCAAAGTAGGAGGTTTATTAAGCCAATTATCCCTCCAAATGTCAATATTCGATCCATTTCCTACTCTCCACCTCGCCCCCAACCTAATCACCTCTCTTCCTGCCAATAAACTCCGCCATAAGAAAGAAGGATTCCCTCCTAGAGTGGCTGACAAAAATGTAGACTTGGGATAGTACTTGGCCTTCAATACCCTAGAACATAAAGAATTTTCATTCTGTACAATCCTCCACCTTTTCTTAGCCAATAACACTAGATTAAAAGCCTCGAAATCTCGAAACCCCAACCCTCCATCGAGTTTCGAAATACATAAAGCATCCCAGCCCTTCCAATGGACTTTCCTCCTCGAACCCGATCCTCCCCACCAATAACAAGCAATCATCCGGTTAAGTTCATTCAAAAATGTTTTCGGGAACTTAAAAATACTCATTAAGTAGGTCGGGATAGCTTGCGCCACGGCTTGAATTAACACTACCCTTCCTGCAATTGACAAGATTTTGCTACTCCACCCTTTAATCCTCCTCCATAGCCTATCTTTAATCGCTCCCAACTCCCTGCGCTTTGATTTACCAATCATTATTGGTATTCCCAGATATTTATCCTCTTCTAAGATCTTCACTATTCCCAACTTCTGCATAATCAACCCTCTCACCTGCTCATTAACATTTTTACTAAACATCACAGCAGACTTAGAGACATTTATCTTTTGACCAGAGGCTAACTCAAAAGATTTCAATATATTCAAAAAAGAGTCACATTCTGCCATCGAAGCCCGCATAAATAACAAACAATCATCCGCAAAGAAAAGATGAGTAACCCTTGGCGCTGTTCTAGCAATTAAAACTCCCCTAATTTCCCTAGTCCTCTCGGCATTAAGTAACAATGCCAATAATCCTTCCATGCAAAAAAGGAATAAGTAAGGGGAAAGCGGATCACCCTGACGAATCCCTCTCGATGGCTTAATCCTTTCAATCTTATCTCCATTAATCAGAATCGAATATGAAACAGTTGTAACACAGGCTAAAGTCAAAGAAATCCATTTATCCGAGAATCCCATTTGTTTCATAATCTCTTCCAAAAACCTCCATTCAACCCGATCATAAGCCTTGCTGAGGTCTAATTTCAAAACCGTGCCCCCCTCCGTACCATTACGCTTATTCTTTAGATAATGCACAGTTTCAAAAGCCACCATGGCATTGTCATAAATCATCCGACCTGGGACAAATGCACTTTGTGTAGGACCAATAATATGTGGCAACACCTCCTTCATACGATTCGCTAAAGCCTTTGAAATAATTTTAAAGACCACATTACATAGGCTTATAGGACGAAAATCATTCACCGTAGTAGGATTGTCAATTTTGGGCACAAGCACAACATTCGTATGATTAAAATCCAATAAAGGAGTACCCAAATTGAGAAACGAAAGCGCCATACTACACACTTTATCTCCTACTATATGCCAAAAACTTTGAAAGAACAATGGCGACATACCGTCTGGTCCTGCAGCCTTGTCTGGTCCCATGTCAAACACAGCTTGTCGAATATCCTCTTCTATGAAATCCCTGTCCAATCTAGCGCTCATAGCCGTTGAAATTCTCCTGTCTAGTAATCCCGAAACAGCATGTATCCGAGCAATATCATGTGTGGAACTAGCAAAAATATCCTGAAAATAGTTTACTACCATTCGGTTCACTATATCCCGATTAGATTGCCAATTCCCTTCATCATCTTGGAGTGCCATTATTGAATTCCTCCGCTTCCGACTTGAGACAATTGAGTGGAAAAACTTTGAATTGTAATCACCATCCTTAAGCCAAGATACTTTGGATCGTTGGCGCCACATGATCTCCTCCTGTTCATATAATTCATTTAATTCATAACACAATCTTGAATAGAATGGGAATCAATTTCCCGAGGCACCTCTTTATATAGATCCTCCAAATCTCTCCTCTTACATTTTATTTTATACCTCACGTTACTAAAGACATCCCTGTTCCACCGTTGTAAAGCTCTTCCACATTCTTCAATAGCCTGAATAATATCCACATTAGGATCCTGACTCCAACTTGTTTTAATAACGTCTTCCAAGCCTGCATGTCTAATTCACATGTTTTCAAACTTAAAACTCGCCCAAGCATTAAACTCCAAGGGAACCTTATCCAACACTTTAATCACCAATGGTAAATGATCAAAACTTGAATCCACCAAATTATGGACATAAGAGTACTGGAATCGATCAAACCAATCTTGTGTTACCAAAACTCGATCCAATTTTTCAAAAAGCATTCCCCCCTCCATCCTTCTAAACCATGTGAATACTGGCCCTTTAGTTGGAATTTCAATAAAGCCACACTCATCCACCACTTCTCGAAACATATCCATTTGCTTTTGAGATCTTAAATTACCGCCAATTTTTTCATCATTAGATAATAATTCATTGAAATCGCCTGAGCATACCCAAGGCAGTTCAGATTGTATTCCAAGTAATTTTAAAAGTTCACATGATTCATGGCGTCGATTAACTTCAGGCCTACCATAAAACCCTGTAAAATGCCACCCTTCATTGTCTTTACCAATAATGGCATCAATGTGCGAGGTAGAGTAAGAAACAATAGAGACATCACTTTCATTATTCAATAACAAGGCTAATCCACCAGATCTACCACAACAATTAACACTAAAACAACAATCAAAACCAACACGACACCAAATCCACTCCATCTCCGGAGCAGTTCGTTTAGTCTCAGAAAGAAAAATTAAACTAGGTCTATTACAATTTATTAACTTGCGAAGATTAAAAACTGCCCGAGCACTACCAAGTCCTCGGCAGTTCCACACTAGGATATTCATTGTTTCCCGGCGGGGATGATCATCCGCCATCCCAGCCGTTTGAGTGTCCTGACCCGCCTGCTGGTCACCAGTTCCGCTTCCATTAGTCGCATGGCCTGAGTCATTG